GGGGGTGCCTAGGTCACTCTGTTGGGTCAGCGTCTGACTTCAGCTCCGGTCACGATCTCGCGGTCCGTGAGTTCGAGCCCCGCGTCGGGCTCTGTGCTGACAGCTCAGAGCCTGGAGCCTGCTTCAGATTCTGTGTCTCCCTCTCTCTCTGCCCCTTCCCCACTCGTGCTCTGCCTCCCCAAAATGAATGAATGTTTCAAAAATTCTTTCAAAGCTTCCCTGCCTCCTGTAGAATCCAAAGCCCATCATGCCCACTGGTCTCACGTTCTCTAGGCTCCACGTTCTGGGTCCTGCTAGCCTTTCTGGCTTCATCCTTAGGTAAATCCCTCAGTTTTGTGTTCGTGTACTCGCCCTTCCTCAGAGAAGTCTCTGGGCTGCTCTTCCTCTCCTGGGGCCTCTTCCCACCCTCCCGTTCACTGTGGAGTCTGCCTGAGCCTTCCGGATCAGTCTCCACGAGCGCTCGTGGTGTCCCAAGTGGATCCTGCCACTCCTGCAGTGTTTTGACTACACCTGCTCTCTGACTGCGATTTACCTGTCGCCCTGCCCCTGCTGGCCTCCCTAGGGGCGACTGTGGGCACCTTGACCACTGAGTCTGCGCTGTGTTCCCCACCCCCAGGGCTGCGGACCGTGCTGCCAACTTCCTCTTCAGCGTGCACTCAGCCTGTAGCTACAGTTCATACTTTGACAAATACTCTGCTTATCTCCTTCGCAGCCTTTGCAATGGATCTTTCTCCACAGCGACATGGATCTTCTCCTCTGCCTGATGGTTACCCCAGAGATGCCTCAGACTTGAGCTGAAGTTGGAGCCCTGTTCTAGACGGACACTCTTAGCATCTTCAGCAAAGGGCTACAAAAGTGACCTGTTTTGGCCACAGCCAAAGTTATTCCCTAGGACACCACAACGACCTTTTATGTCACAAGTCCCTCTCACCCTCTGAGGTCCCCCACAGGGGACTGGGATGGGGCAGGGCCACTAGAACGTGTCCCGTTAGACACAGACGCCCATGAGTGTGGCCAGCAATGAGCCCCAATCCGCCTCTAGCCCCGGGAAGACAAGGGGGAGAGGAGGGGCTCGTAATCAAAGCCTCACTCAAGATTTGTCTGAAGGTATATTCCAACATATGTTAAATCTGAAAATCAAGACGGATTAATTTGCTTTTTAACCTTAGGTATCAGCCACTTCCCTCACCCACCCCACCATGATTCAGACTAGCACCTTCCAAACTCGTGGCACCTAAGGGTGGCCGTTCTCTCCAAAGCTCTAGAGCAGAAGTAGGAAAGGTGGAGGCAGTGCTCGGTCGTCATCGCTCTGTTTGGGGATCTCTGTCTGTCCAGACGCCCACCGACCTACAGATGGTATGGTTTCCATGCCATCGTTATCTTTCAGAGTCCATTCTCTGTGTCTTGATGCCTGAAGGTCAGAGGTCCAGACTGGATGACGCCTCTCTGGCACCAGGAAGCGTGCCACTTAATCACCATCTAGCCCTCCTAACAACGCCAAACGTTAGTGCATCGGCTTCCTAGGGCGGCGCCGACAAATGACCACAAACCAAGTGGGTTAAAACAATGGGCGTTCATTTTCTCACGGTTCTGGATGCTAGACGTTCAGAGTCAAGGTGTGGGTAGGGCTGGTTCCTTCGTGCGGCCGCGAGGGAGGACCTTACAGACTTACAGACACGTGGCCCCATGTCTCCTTCACGCGACGTTCTCCCTGTGATTTCTGTGTGTCTATCTCTGTCCAAACTTCCCTTTTCTCGTAAGAACACCCATCATTAGATTAGGGTCCCCTAACCCAGGAGGACCTCATCTTAACTACATCGTCAAACACCCATTTCCAAAGAAGGTCACATCATAGGTACCTGGACTGAGAACTTCAACGTGGCTTTTTGCGGGGGGGCCGGGGGGGGGGGGGGGGGGTATTGCTCTAATCCTCAGACTAAACTGAGATACAGAGTAACTTCCACAAAGGTACACAGAAAATAGGTGGTATAACTCAGTATTTAATCTGTCTAGATCTAATTATTACCACTTAATAATTGCTTGTACCAGGCCCTCTGCTGGGTGCTTCATTTTCATTTCTAATCCTCCTATCAACTGTATAGATTTATCATCCCCCATTTTACAAACAGAGGCACAGATCGTCCAAGTATCTCTCCCAGAGCCACATGAAGACAAAGCGGCAGACCTGGGACTCAATCCAATAATTCTCACCCAAGCCAACCCACGAGTACATCTTTGAGATGACTCATCCCTCCTCGCTCCACATCCTCTGGTGTAACTCCCTGCCTGCAGCTGAGAGCCACGACTGTAAGTGACACGTTACTGGAATTCTTCGAGCAACGGCGTAAAGGCCAAAGTAATCACTGGGATCCCAGCACTGCCACTCGAGGCGTCACGGCGGATGACAGCCTGATGAGAAAGACCAAGTCCTCATCTTCCTTCTGGCGGCCAGGGAAGAGTTACGTGGAAAAACTAGGACAATGAGTAAATCCTATTAAAAAGCAACATATTTCACAGTGAATCGCTTTCCTGCAGACTGCTGCCCGTGTGTGGAGGTGGCTTCTTTGTTCTAACAGGCACCTTGCGGGGAAAACCCGTCTAATACCACGTGGGGAGGAACCACATCTCAGCCAAGCCCATAGAATGGTTATTTATATTGCCTCGATATGCCTCAAAATAAAAAGTCAAAAGCATCACTTCCTGGCAGCTGCCGTGCCCTCTTCCTCAACATCAAAGATGTGTCTCCCACACATACACATACCAGTGCCTTACAAACACAGCAGCCCGAACACAGAGCCCTTCAAGCAATGCATAAGCCACAGAAACTTCCTCAAATCAACGCAAGAGACTGAGAAGGCACTCAGCCCCGTGCCACGAACTGAGGCTTGGACCGCACTTACCAGTTAGAAATTGGTTTCTTTCGCTTGTATCGTCTCCAAAAGATACCACATAGGTAGGGGCTAGGATCACGGGCTCTGGAGGCAGGCAGACTCGAGAGCCAACTCCAGCTGTCCCATGCACTACCTGTGGGTTGTTCCTCTTCTCTCAGCCTGTTTTCTTACTTGTGAAATGAAGATACTGACATGAATCTCACAGACAGGTGATATTAACATACCATGGGGATCCTTGACTCCCAAGAGGCAATATAAACTATGGGCAGGAATAAAACACTGCTTTAAATTTGACCTTGTTTATCTCATCCCATGGACCTAAGTTTCTATTTATTTTTTATTTTTTTTTTTT